AGGCTCAGTCCTGCACTTTGTAAATCAGTAAAAAATAAAATTAAGGTCTTCATTTTATCACTTCAGAAATATTATCCTTTTTGTTCTGGCTTGTGTTTGTATGCTGATAATATATTTTCTGTAAAGGGACAAGGAGCAGACTGACCTGGAAAAGGAAGTCTTTTTTATGTAGAACTGTCTTTGATCACTCACAAGACTTGTGCTCTGATCTAAGCTCATTGACATCAATGGAAGAAAGACTGCTGTTGGCTTGGGGGGGGTGGGGGTTGGCTCTTGTCCACACAGAGTCCATATACGCAAAAGCAGATGATAAAAGATAAAACATTCTGAAAGTCAGAGCTACAGAAAAGATACTATTCTTTGCACAAGGTTAGATTTATAACACATTTTTCACTTAATGTTTTTTTTTCTTAGTCCCTGACACAGAAAACTCTACATCTATTGTTGCTGTTTACCTGGAGATAAACCTTGGATACAGAAAAGGGGAGAGCTTGGTGGATACTTTCCATAGCATGAAAATGGAAGGCCTCCTCCGTAGACTCTCCTGGGACACTAAAGAATAAGAAAAGGGAAAATAAGGTTCCAGGGAAACCACCCCCCAGCCACATTTCCCACACAAAGAGCCATTCCAGAGAGGGAACTCAGCACTATAGTACTGGACGTGGTCATCAAAGAAGTGGATAATTGCAGAGTCTGTTTAAAAGATAAAGAAACTTCTAATGGGATTGTGTCCCTTGGTGACAGTTTCCAGATGAGGTAGATCAGTACAATGAAGCCCAGAGATGAAAAGTCAGTCAGTGAACAGTCCTAAAAGGAATCCTCCCCAGCTCACTTGGGGGAGAGAAGGCAACCTTCATTCTGACGTGTATCAGTATCTTCAGAAAGGTCATGGGGAGATAATGATAGTTTTGTCGTATGCCATTCTACTGGCTACTTCTTTGGTACCATTGATTCAGTAACTGGTTTATATTACATATTCAGAACATTTCTCTTATTCAATTGAATGAGAAAATGTAATGAAACAATATTTGCCACTACCAACACAGTTTATTTCAAACAAGAATCTCCAAGTAATGTGAATATGACATTTAGGCTTGGACCAGCCAACAGCATCCCTTTAGCCCAGACATTCTGGCCAGTGTGTTTCAAGTCAAACATCTCTTTCTCATTTGGTTAATATCTCCTACATAAGCAGCATAGCTATGCAAGACAGGCAGCAGTTAGACAAAACTGCACTGCTGACTTGGTCTTCAGACTTTGATCTGACTTTTAGGACCTGATTCCATTACACATCTCACATGCTATATGCTGGCCTTGCTTTACAATTTCAGCTGACTGACGTAGACTTAGGCCAATAAAAACAGGCACAGGATTGTGTATGCCTATTGTCCCTACGAGGCGTACAAAGATTTGCTCATTTAGAACTTGTTCCTTTAATATTGGGCCAAAATGGCAATATTTTCATTGACATATCTGAGAGCAGAAGCAAAGTTTACAAAGTGTTAGGTTTGAGGAAAGATGCCATAGAAAAGGAAAGTAAAATTACTAAAATATACTGGAAGAGAAAAATTCATCCCATGGATAGAATTGTCATCCCATGGATAGAACTCTGTCATTGTCACTACATGTATCCTTTTATGCCTCTCAGGGTAGAATTAAATCCAGAAAACGAAAATTATAACCTTTTCCTTCCAAACTTGAGTATTTATCGCAAGTGTATCCCATTCCATTGTGAATCACTTCTTCAGATTCTATTAAAAATCAGGAGTTTCCAACTAGAGGCTTAGAATGAGCTAGATTTTTCACCACATTCTCCTTTCTCTCCGTTCTCTCGTTGGGCTTGGAGACTCTGGGTCACCTTTCCAGAGTTGCTAGGGACTTTGGCTCCAGCTGATGCTGGGTAACTAAGAAAGTTAAACAGAAAACATTGGTTTGGAGAACAAAGGTTGATGCAAGAGCCTAGGTCTCTCATGCTTTGTCATAGTCAGAAGGAGAATGCAGGGGAAGAGGAAAGGAGAAATTGTGTAAAAAGCCATCTACTCAGAAAAGAATGTTTGATTTGGATCACAGGATGTGAGACTGGAGAATGTATTGCATAACTTTATGGCTTGTCCTTATTTGCAATGATTCAGTATCCGGCACTGCTCATCCCATTTCTAAAAATGGTATTGAAAAGTTACTGAGTATTCAGAGGTGATGGGAATAACTGAGGAATGGAAGGAAAACACCTGTTCATTTTACAGCAGATAGCAAAGACCGGGTCTGCAGGTCATCCTACAGGTTGTTGCAGATCACTTCTGGTGATCTGCACAGGTTCTGTGTCCTTCCTTACCACCTAAGTTACACTCACTGGGTGAAATCCCTTCTATTGCCAGGGGCTCACCTTCTCCATACCAAACTTCAGATCATGTCAATCCTTTCTCTGTAGTATTTATCTTATAACTTCATAACAGGGCACGTACAGCGTGGAGGACAAGAGATGAGGCAGGTGCAGTGCTGTGGAGTGACCCCTCACCACAGCCATTTCTGAAGACTCCCCTGTCAAGCCTAGCCCCTGATGGAAGAATCCCTACAGCTTCTTCAGAGCCCTGTTCAGAGGTATTTCTCTCTACCCCAAAGAAGGCACCTCCAGGACCACCTTCCCTGCCAGGGTTATTTCATTATTAGCCATCTCATTTCTATTTCTCCATACCCTTTGAAAACAAGCATCATCCAAATCCGCAAGTCCTCACTTCAAAACACCACTTTACCCACTTCTGGCCCTCCTCTCTTGCCCATGTGGGAAAAGGGGCCAGCCCCCGGGCATCACCCCGCAGAGGCTACAGCTCTGGGACTAAGCCCTGCTCACCCTGTCCTCTGTTACTGTTGGTTTATGTTGGTTTGGTTTTTTTTGGGGGGTGGGTTAGTTTTTTGGTTGCTTTTTTTTTTTTTCGAGGGGGAGGGGATCGTTGTTTTAAATGGATTCACAACCAACACTTGGTCAAAATCTAGGGGGCAAATGCCAGGCTCGTTAGGAGTTCAGGGAGCTGCTCATCAAAGTTTAATATACATCCAAATTCCTGTTATCCAAATTCCTGTTATTTAAACAATAAAAGGGGAACGGGTGAAAAAAAAAAAAAAACACCACACACAACCTTGGCAGACCGCAGTGATGCTGGGCGGGGACAGACCGACCTCATTCATGGCTTTCTCTGTGCAGAACGAAAGGGTTTACGTTTTCCCTGTGCTCGCCT